ACACGCATTTAATCTTTCACGTCACTGTTGGCACTCATAACTTTAAAATCTTAAGCGATTCCAGAAAAAACCTTATTTTTATTTATGTATTTTCGGCTAAGCTAACTCTTCAAACTGTAGTGTCCGTCTTGATGTTTTTCAACAAATGTAGGTCTCTCTACAGTTTAATCTGAGCCGTTTCCGGACGACCGATGGATTTTTATGAAGAGCTTTTGATTTCATGCCAAAAATACACTCTGAAGGGCTGACGTTCCAACAAAAAAAAATGTCAGCCTGGAAATCCTGCGATAGGATACAGAAACATGAGCAATGATAGCATTCGATGAATCACCATTGGAAGTTTTGGAGAAGGTAGTTTTGCTAAGGCGATGCGAGTTTTAGTGGCAAAAAAATCGGTAAGGAATGCGAATATTTTTAAAACTGTCATGAGTGAATCTCTGCCACCTTTTTTATGATACATATTCATATCTGAAGCTTACTTATTCTTTGCTGTATAGTTTAAACGTCGAGTTGATAGAATGGGGACATATCTGCACCTATATGACATCTCATTCTCAGTGCATATGACTTGTTGGTATTTGGTATTTTTCTTCAAATTCCAATCATTACCTGGAGACAAACTCTCTAAATCATCTCGACAAGTATATTATCAGATTACTGAAACTCCTGCTGTTGCATGGGACAATGTTCAACATATGAATTCGGTAAATATCTGGATGAGAAAGTCTAATTCTCTGTGGAACATATTATTATGCGCATGATTAATGATTGCAGTGTGAAAGGTCGACAAATCGAATACGATCAGCACAGTTAACAGTGTCGACTGTGATTGAGAATGAGCGTTATCTGAATATAATGACATAAAGTGTAAAGGTGTCTCTTTCTATTTTCAGAAATGACGCTGAAAGTTAAGGACCAGAATGCTTAATCATTTTCAATGAATTGCATAAAGGTGTAAACATTCGTCTTTTGATGATATCTTTAAAATAATTAAATATTTTTTTTTATTGAAAAAATTGCTTATGACTTCGCAAATTCACGATTCGAATTGATTTTATCATTTAAAAATTAAAAAGAAAGTTCGTTATATATTTTTTCTTGTGAAATGTAATAAATTTTAGCTGTTATACAGGTAAAAGACAAATGTATATATAATATTATATACACTTTGTTACACACCCTGTCATAAAAATGTTATCTCAATTGACGCAATGGAAAATTAAATATCCAATATTGTAAAAAATAGTAAAATTATATTAGAAAAGGTAGGTATGATATGATGTTTTGATCTAGACCAAGAGCCCTCGGCATATTGTCGACATATTGGCACGATACTCTCGATTTCAAATTTTCAAGACTTAGCCCCGGTAATATTTAAAAATTCATATTTGGAAAATTAAATTAATGAAAATAAAAATAAATAAATAAATTTGTATACTGTATTTTCTTAGGGTTTTTTTATTTTCTGTACCGTGCGACATTAAAAATGCACCAAAAGTTCGTGAAGATTAATCATCGAATATTGAGTAAAAATATGGTTGTGTTGCTGGCAATAGAATATTGAGATAACGATATTAACAATAAATATTTGGCAAACAAATGAAGAAAAAATCATTTGGGATAATTTCCAAAAGTCTAGATGAGTGCTAAAAATCCAATGCATTGGCATAATCGTAGAAATACCCCAGAATAGGAAAAACATACTAAAAGAAACCAAACTTGTGTTGACCAGTGTATTATATTGTATATAATAATTATAAATTGTTAATAAATTTTACACTGCCTGCGGTAGGAGATGGGTTCCAAACTTTGTCAATCAGACGAGCTTTTCTCATGTCAGACATTCTTGACATTCTCTGTTGAGGAACGATAGCAATTTCAAGACTTTCCAATAAAAGGTGTTATTTTGATATTCCAAGAAAAATTCAAGTTTTTTGAGATAAATGATCGGAAGTTTATTCCAAAGTAAAGAGGAATATATGCCATTACAAATGAGGAATATATCTAAAATAAAATGGCCATTATGGCTACCCCAACAGGGCCGTATATTCCTATGAAATTTCCCATCACCAAAACGCAAAGTGGCTACTGACTGCGCTCAATAGCCTCACGAATTCAATCTTTGAAGTCTGTTGGCGTAAACCATTCCTTTCACGTGGACCCAAAAAAGAAGTCGCAATTCCTTAAATCACAAGCTCTCGGTAACCCATTGCGATCTCCTCTTCGAGAGATAACACAGTTCGAAAACTTTTCTCTTAAAATATCTATGGTTTTGTTGCTTGAGTGGCACGTAACTTCGTCTTGTTGAAGGTAAACGTTGTCTAGATCAATACCATCCAATTCCGGCAATAAAAAGTCAATAATTATCTCTCGATAATACAATCCATTCACCGTAACTTTTGCTCCAGCCTCATTTATGAAAAAAACTAAGGTTCAATGACCTCGTCAGACCATAAAACACATTAAAAAGTTACTTTTTGAAGATGGAGGGGATTTTCAACAATAAATCTCAGACACGACAGTTTCGCTTATTGACGAGACCATGAAGGTGGAAATGGGTTTCATCAGTAAAGATGATTCTTTCATGAAATTCCGTATAATTATCGTGCATTTCAAGGATCCAATCAGCAAGGATACGATGTTGTTGATGATCAGCCGACTTGAGTTCTGGTACTATTTGAACTTTATAAGCTTTAAGAACCAAGTTTTTATGCAAAATACGACAAAAATCTGGGGTTTTTTCAACACTTTGGGTGAAATATTCTCAGTGGTACTTGAGCGACCTGCACATCGTTTTTACTTCACATCATTAACCTGTACGAAGAACTCTATTTTCCCACCAATTTCTGTATTGCTGTCCGACAAGGTGCTTCACGATTGCGGAAAAATATTTTTACTTTACGAACCGTCTCTGCCTGGTTTTCACCATATTTATAGTGACTCTTAATAATTTCAATATCGTTCAATCTTATATCGTTCAATTTTTATTACTGGCGTAGTTTTTACTTGTCAAACGTCAAAAAATTACAGCTTTATGCTGCAACTACCCATCTTACATACCTTCCATCCATTGCAACCTATCTTATGAGCGCGTTATGTAAATACAAAGTTGTCACCGCTTGCCCATGCCGTTACTGACGGTTGACCGAACGGCGATTTGATTTTTGTTTTGTAAAACCAGCTCGGCTCATTTTTCGCCGCCATACAAAGTTGCCAGTATTGACTTATTTAAACTAATATTAAAAAAACAAAGAAAATGCGTAGTTTTTTCAAAAGAAATGAAAACTTAATTCGTAATTAACTATTTACTACCATATGGATCATATACATATATTTGATTGGCGATTATATTCAAATATATAAATTATATATTTGTTCAAAAGTGTGCAAACGCATTGGTAGCTGGCAACATTTCGACGCTCTCGCTCGCTCTCGTGTATGCATATCGCTCTTCCAGTCGGCTGTTATGGACGAAAGGTAAGTAAAATGGGTAGTTGCAGCATTGAGAGTGACATCAACCGGAAAAGCAGGCTAAAAAAAAACACTTCTTATTGGGAAATTCTTCAGAAAAAATATATTTCGGATGTGGTTGAATTAGAACCCGAAATGAACTCTTCTTCCGAATGGCAGTAACACCATAAATTAGAGGAGGAACTCAACCGAAATACGCTACAGCGGTTCTAAAATGTGTATGTGTTATATTATATATGTATATACATGCATATGTATGTATATACAATTACAATTACATTATTCCAGTTATCTTTTAAGGTTACAAGTCTTAGAAAAAAATTGATTTATTAATTGTTTTAATTCAATTAAATTTGAATTTATTTTGATACTTAATTTTTCAATGTAGCGGTATATTTCAATAACATTGTTGTGCTTTAAAATTTTTTAAATATTTATTGCTGAATGAAATTTTATTAATTAATTTTTATGTGAAGGAATTAAAATGACGAGATGATCAGTTCATGCCTTTTTGTTTGAAGAATTTAAATAAAAAAAAAACATTTTAATGATTATTTATTTTTTAATTATGCAAGATCACATTTAATAACATTTAATAAAACTTTATTAATTGTGGTAACTAATTTAACAGATTTGTGGTTAATAAAAAAATCATTTAATTAAAAACACTTTCCGCTTATCATATTGACTTCTCGTTAAAGCTGTGCTTATTTTTAAGCTGAGGGCAAATACTATTATATCACTTGCATTATGTATCAAAATCTGCATGTATGTACATATGTATTTATGTGTTTATGTAAATAAAATCAAAATACAACATATTTTTGGGAATTTCCAAGCACATTTAATGACTCATGCTCACACATTTCGCTCTTTTCACGTCATTTCCCTCGCGTGGGCGACTTGCTTCATCGCGTTTTTACACATAAAAATAATCAATTAAAAATAAATGAAATTTAATGGAGTTGATAGGCGTTTGAGCAACACTTGATTTGGTTTTTAAGACACAGTTGCCAAGTGACAAGTGGATTGTGTGGTTGGTTACAGCGTGTTGCGGTGATTTTTGTTAAACAAAAAAAAAAAAAAAAAAAAAAAAAAAAAATAAAAAATAATAATAAAATAAAAAAAAAAAATTAATAATAAAAATAAAATGTCAACGTTTCGCATTTATTTTTGTGGTCGATTTTCGTAAACAATCCAAAAGCGTCTCGCAATTATACAACACAAATGGAATATCAAAACATTATATGCACATATATTTCTATGCATAGTATATAAAAATATACATACATATATAAACAACAATGAATTTGTATAGCACAAAGTTTGACCATCCCCCCTACGTATTGGCCCCATCAAGGCCTATTTTACGTCACGTGTTTTGTACTCGCACAGCGTCAACACACATTTGACGCTTTCAAACTTGTTTAGATGGCGCGCGCAAATCTTTTACACAAACAACACATAGCTCATGTCAGCTCGAAGCAAGGAAACTGACACAGAGCAGCAGCAATCACAATTGTACATACTGTTCACAGAATTTGTTAGTATCGACGGTGATGGCGACGAAAGCAGACGGCTTATTTTTGGGCGTAAAACACGTTGGTGCACATTACACCACAGCCGCTGGAGAAAACGTACACCCGTACACTGACAACACACTGTTGGTCCACCTACCGATCTCGGTGGATGCGCGCCGTTCGTCCAACTACAATGACCAGCGCGTTTAATATTGAAATTTGTAAGAAGAATAAGAAGGAAAATCGAATCGCACGGCGGGCGAGTGTGATGTGGAAGAGAAGCGCGCTCGTTCACTCGTTTGCCTATAATGTTTGCAACAATTAACTGTGTCGCTGGCGAAATCAACCAACTTATGTATATATTAATTTTATTTTATTCAGATGATTGGCTTCACAGCAGCGTTGCCGACGGCGGGGGAACTACATACACATAAGTACATATGTACGTGTAGTTACGTTTGGGTGTGCGTGTAACGTCAAAGTATAGAGCAAAAAAAATTGTTTATATACGTGTATGTAAAAAAATAAAAAATATATGTACATATATGTTCATATATTTATAAAGAAAAAAATAAGAGCAATAAAAATAACAACAAAAAAAATTCCAATCAAAATAAACAAAGCCGAGCAACAAACAACAGACGCACCGAAGGCAAAGAAACGACCCACAATCGGCGTCAGGGAAATACTGGAAAGAGAATTGCTCAAGTGGTGAACTCAAGTGGTGAGATAAACGACGAAGACGCGCGGTTTGTAGCGTTCGCTCGCGTCCGGCCAGGGGGCGGTGGGTGGTGACGCTGCGAAAGCGCAAGAAAGCGTAAATAAAAACGAAGAAATAGCAAAAAAAAAAAAAAAAAAAATTGTAGCGAAATCAGATCAAATCTATGGAGTGTCATTCAATGGCAATCGGCGGGGAAGGATGTCAAGTTGGAGGGCATTGGTGCGAGCACGCGCTAATTGTTTGCATTTTTTGTTTTGTATGTAATATTTCCTACCTATAAATGTTGCTGAAAGTTTTTGTATTTGTTTTTATATTTCATTTTATTTTTATTTTTATTCACCTTTGGCGTTTGCCATTTTGCGTCATTATTATGATGAGGCACTGAAGTGTAGTGATTGCCGTCCATTTAGTCGGTAAGTCAGTCAGTTGGGTCGCGTAAGGCACACATTATATGGTATGAAGGTTCAATTCCCGTTATAGTCAGAGCGTAACTACACACACATATATATATATATATATATATAAATATACATATATATATATACATATATAGGGTAGATAAATATAAAATAAACTTGAACGAACTAACCTGGGTCATAAACAAAAAAAAAAAAATATTAAAAATAAAAATAAAAATAAATACTTGAGCTGTATTTATGTCATATATTGTACATCGCACGCATCTCATATGTATGTAAATATGTATGTGAATTAAAAAATATTTGCCTATAGTTATTTGCGAATTATACTTATTTATATATATATATATATATATCTTTATCAATTTCCTATAGTGACTATTAGTCTGTAGCTCGAAAAATATTTACATACCCACATTTTATTCATATATATGTATATTTAAAATGTTCTATAAATAACTCTCAAATAACATATTGCAGAAAAATTTGCATAGGCGTAGTGTATGAAGATTAAGGGAGGCGTTTCTCTTTAATTCTGTTTTGTACACAGTTTCACTGCCTCACTGTTTCATAAAATCGCTACCAGGACTAGTGAATTATAAGAGGGTTTTCCAATAACAGGTGTTATTTTGTATAGCCGGACATCTACCGGAATGATGTTACTTTTTGAAGTTGAATTTTTTGACGTTTGTCAAGTAAAAACTACGCCAGTAATAAAAATTGAACGATACAAGATTCAACGACGCATTGAAATTATTGAAATTCACTATAAAAATGGTGAAAACCTGATTAGTAAAACTAAAACATTTTTTTTTAGACGCCGTAAAGCACCTTGTCGCACCGCAATACAGAAATTGGTGGGAAAATGAAGTTCTTCGTACAGGTTAATGATGTGAAGTAAAAAAGATGTGCAGGTCGCTCAAGAACAACCGAGAATATTGCACCCAAAGTGTTTGAAAAAACCCCAGATTTTTGCCGAATTTTGCATAAAGACTTGATTCTTGAGGCTTATAAAGTTCAAATAACACGAGTACTCAAGCCGGCTGGTCATCAACAACATCGTATCCTTGCTGATTAGGTCCTTGAAATTCATGAAAATGATGCGGAATTTCATCGAAAAATCATCTTGACTGATGCTACCCATTTCCACCACGATGGTATTGATCTGGTCAACGTTGTGATTTGACATCTTGTGACTTTTTTCTTTGGGGACACGTGAAAGATAAAGTATACACCAACAGGCCAATGTTGATCAAAGACCTCTAAGATGAAATTCGTGAGACTATTGAGGGCATACAGCTGCCCTTTTGCGATTTAGTGATGGAAAATTTCATAAAAGTGATATGGTACTGTGAATGTAGCCATCAGATATTCTTTTCCAATATTAAAAGTATATCTTTCTCTTCATCCGATTAATTATATCAAAAAATGCCATTTTTATTTGAACTTCAAAATAACAACTCTTATTGGAATTGGCTCTACTAAATCGCAAAAGCAATGTTCGGCTGAGCTTTTCTTCAAATTCTTGCAGTTGTGGTACGCTTCATGTGGTTTTACTAACATCCGACCACCTCCGAAAGGCCGATGGATTTTTAAGGCATGACATTACCTGAGAAGGGTCGACCGCAATTAGAAAAATTAATTTTGAATGTTGGTTGAACCACGACTAGAACCCTGTAACCCTGGAAGTATGCAATGCTAATTACTCGGCTATTGCAACTGGCGAAATGCGATCCATTTTGCGGTTTCGAAAATGAAAATGTAATGCATTTAAAATAAGTTTTTTCCATGGAATTTCTTTTTTATTATATTTGAGCCTGGATATTTTTGCCAGCTTCAAAATATTTGGGTAATTTACGATGGCTTTTTGGTACATATTCTGCGGTATATCACCACATGGCGAATATTGCTTTTCATGAGTATAAGGTTTATCAAATCGCAGGTGGGCAATTCACTTCGCCAAGACGAGAGATCACGCGGCCGGGAAATTTCTCTCGCAATAAAGACATATTTGCTAAAACAAGTCGTGTTCTTCAATTGCAGACCAAAAAGTCGGTTATCATACGATATAGTGACAGTTTCCCCGTGGGCGTTTTGAAACAAGTAAAGTCTAATCCCAACTCCGGACCAAAGAGCGCACCAGACAGTAAGTTTATTTTAGGTGTTATGGCCTCTCTTCAATTATTTAAGGATTCCCGGGACCCCAAAATTAACAGTTTTGCTTACTTACCGGGTAAGGAGTGCGACCGTCGCTGAAGAAAATTATGTTCGAAAAGTCGACCTTCACTGCTTGCTGTTCAAGCATCTAATCGACGTATATACAGCGCTATGAATGGTCAAAAGGCTTCAGTTGTTGGATGAGCTGGACTTTACATGGATGTAGGTGTAAGTCCAAGTACCATAGTGTACCGTAAGTAAGTACCAGCTCTTGAGAATGTCGAGAAATAGATACATTCAGGTCCTCGGCACGTTTTCACTCAGAGTACTTGCAGTTGATTTAGAAAGAGTTAAACTATGATTCGTGGACATACAATATCTGTAACAAATCTAGTGTAGTTGGACGATTATGTGCACTTAAAGAACGAAGCGTGATCACATATGCATCACTGTTTTCCATTACCCGACTATGAGGAGGTCCGAATAGCGATGGGAAAATACCCGCAAGAAAAGAATCGATCACCTTTCATCGATTTTTAAGCTGACTTCGACAGAATTGTAAGGAGTTGCCTATACGCCGCAATCTCTGAATTTGGTATTTCTGAAAAACTTAAACGGTTGCATGCGCTGGCACTGAACAATACCAGAAGCGCAATAAGCATCGCGAAGGACTTCCCCGAGCCGTTCGATATCAAACGAGGTTTCAGGTAAAGTAGCTTTTTATATACTGCTGGCACACGTCGATGATATTATTATCATAAGTCTCAACAACCGCGCTGTTAGTTCTGCGTTCTCCAGGCGAATGGGTCTGTTGGTGAACGAGGACGAAGAAATACTAATCCTATTCCCAACTCGGCTGTCACGTTACTGTTGACAGTCTTAATTTTGAAGTCGTAGATAATTTCTTCTATCTAGGAACCAGCATTAACACCCATAACAATGAGTAGGCATTTGAAAGGTAAAGTCCTCCCTTGACAAAAAAAAAAACCAAACTCTACAAGTCGCTCATCATACTTGGAGCAGAAGAGTGGACGATGTAAGCAACTGATAAGTCTGCTTTGGGAGTATTGGAGAGAAAAGTTTTGCGAAAGATTTATGATGCTTTGCGCATTGTCAAAAACGAATACTGCAGACATTGTAACGTAGAGCTGTACGAGTTATTAGGTGACATTGGTAAGTTCAGCGAATGAGGAGACATTGGCTACGATGGCTATGCCCTGTCTTTAGAATGTATGAAAGCAGTGTAGCTGTGAAAGTATTTGATGCCGTGCCCGGTGGTTCAAGCAAAGGAAGTGGAGGACATCCACTCCGTGGAAAGGACCAAGTATAGAGCGATCTGGTTTCACTTGGTATTTGCAACTGGCGCCAAAGAAGGAATCAACAGTGAGTAAGCAGTGCGCACGTCAACGAAGAACGAGAATATGTTTTTTTTTAACCACAAGTGCAGGGAATGTCTGATGGATTGATTTTTATTAGGTGTTTTTATTTCGTGTCAGAGATACATTCTATAATTTCTGATGTTGATCGGGTCTATGGCCCCTCAAGTTGGAACTGCGCACCACTATACATCTGGTTTTAGCAGCCACTAGTGATGTAGAGTCTAAGAAGCTTTTGGCCTAAAAGGATTCACTTTTTTCTGGTTATCTGATGGTTATCTTATTCAGACTTGGGCGACTGCAAGCAAATCGAAATTTTTATTTAAATTTAAGAGAAATTTGACTAAAATTCAACAATTTGAGCCGCACGATGGACATCCGAACATCGTCTTTGTGCACATTTATTCGTGGGTATTTACATATTTACATTTTAACATCTACTAAGGTGGACCTTGCCTATATGCGAGTACTTCCGGGCATTGCATGCATGTAAAAAACAATCGCATGTACTTACATACATATATGTATGTGTGTATAAAGAGTAAATATATTATGTTAATATTATTGAACTCCTTTGTTATTGTTGTCAAACAATTATGACGCTTGTACTTATTCATTTGTTAAATAAAATGAACGTAAAATTCCACAACCCCATGGGTAGAGTGCGACAGGAATTTCTTATTATTGAAACTAATTTTTGAAAATAAGGTGAAGACGAATATACTGTTAATTCGAAAATTGAAGCACTTGAATAACTCGCATTACATATATGTATACATACATACAAGCATTTAAAAATATGCACAATTTGTAGATAAGCCAAGAGTATGGAGTGTAAACAAATAATTCTTTATATTAGCACTGTCATCGGAATGTTTAACATTCATGTCTCATATATATTGTTTGTATGTACGCATTTCGTTGAATAATAATTTTCTGTTGAACTTAAACTATGTATGTATGTACATATATATATAAAATTTATTCAGAGCAAGAATTTTAAGCCTCGAGCAATTTATTATATTTACATTATTAAACATCTGAGTAATTTGTAGTGGAAATGAGCTAGAATTATATGCAGTAAGACACTAAAAATAATTGTTCAGTTCATGAGTTGGATTCTCGCATGATTATTCGCACTAAAAATAAATGCACTTAACCGCGTGCAGCCCTTGATGATGTACGCCCTTGCATAATTTTAGGCGTTCGCATTATCTATTCATAAACACATAGTGCAGTTCTCACATGGTCTATAGTATAAATAAAATATACAGTGAAACAAGCAAAACAATTAAAAGCCACGTAGCATTATGTGTCTGCGCACTTGAAAAGATTTCTTTTAAGGA